CGGATGAATCACGACCGAATCAAGATCGGTTTCGGACTCGAACTCAGAAGTGGATTTACTGCCAAATCAGGAATCCGACTTACTGCCAAATCAGATCAACGAATCAGAGTCTGAATCAACCAAATCACGGACAAAACGAGAACCGAAAGATGAAAACACGACGGAACCCAACACTAAGGGGGGGGCTCGGCCTAGCCGAGCCACCTCTGGGTGGCTCGGCCAAAGCCGAGCCACCTTGAGGTGGCTCGGCGGATCTGTGCCCGGGCACAGTAAAGGGAGCCTATAAATAGGCCCCCCTTGAGCTCAGAGTTTTGAAGACTTGAGGACTTGAAGATTCAGATCTGATTCTCGGCGAGCATCTACGTCACAAAAGGCAGGAGTTCGAGAGAGATAAAAATTAGATCTGAGATCTACACGAGATTACACTCCGGATCAAAGCTTGGCCTTTGGTCCCGAGAACTAAAGGCTACTATTTCCTTGGCGAATTAGTACCCTACGGCTATTATTTCCTTTGCGAAATAATACCCGTCGAATCGTGTAGATCCGACCGTATCTAGATCGCGCGGTGGTCCACGGATTAACCCCGGCGTCGGCAAAGAACCCACACAAGCAAGAGACCGCAAAACAGGATCTTGCGATTTGTTCAAAGGGAAAGTTGTAAAAGGAAAGTTGTAATTTTTTCTTTTTTTTTCTTTGATTTCGTTGTAACCGGATCTAAAAAAAGACCGGATCTTTTGTAACAAAAAAAATATAGTTATTCAAGATGACAATGAATTCAATGAAGACGATTTTCACCGCGAACAGCGGGTGTCGGGTTTGGGTGTCGGGGAGCGGAGAAGAGGGCGCAGTAGTGGGAGAAGAGGGGGCGGTGAGCAGGCGGCTGTCGGAGGCGGCGGGAGAGGGAAGCGGAGGCGCAGTGTGGTTTGGCACCGTGTGATCCTCGGAACCCGAGGGCGAGGAGAGAGGGGACGCTGAGATGGTTAGGGCGGGCGTGACTGGCCGGGGTCGGACTGGCGGGGCTGAGGCTTGGAGGGTTGCAGGTTAAATGTAAGAGGTAGAGGAGCGAGCTTGGCTTGGGGTGGTGTCGACGAAGGAAGGAGAGCGGGGGCTTGGGGTGTGGCTGGAGGCAGTGACAGGAAGGGGGAAGCGGGGCTCGGCGGAGCAGGAGGGGAGTTTGAGGTGGATTGCCGGGGGAGGGGGGAGGAGAGAGAAGAGAGAGAAAGAGACGAAGGGAGATGGGGTGTTTCAGCGGTTTGTGGGTTGAAAACGTAGAGAGAGAGAGAGCGTTATTTATTTAATTAGGGTTAGGTTTAAAAAAATTATAACTAATTAAGAAAATAATTAGAAAAATTAGCAATAATTAGGGATAAAATTATTATAATTAATACAATACTTATAATAACAATAACAGTGATAAAATAAATATTAATTGAAAAGTTTTCACTGCATCAAGTAAATTTATAATTATCAAAATCATTAAATAAATATAAAATCAGATTTTTAAATCGTAGAAAATTCTAGAAAATCAAGAAAATACAAATACTCTTTTGAAAATAATAATAAATATTTTAAAATACCAGAAAATTATTTTAACTAGTATCGAAAATTCATGGTCATTACAGGCTACATATTTGCAGCCTCATTCCCTCCGGCTGTAAATGCAGGATGATTGGAGTGCTTCGGGGCTGTAAAATCCAGTTTTATAGCCTCGTTGGAGCTGCTCTTAGCCCCACCACAGCGCTGCTGTTGAGCGCTTTTTACAACCCCGGACGACATCAGAATTTCATAATTACGGGTTACGAGACAACAACAACTCACGCACAAGACACGTTCCGTGCATGAGTCAAGCCCAACACTTTACATCACGTATCTTAACTCAAAACATATACATAAGCTTGCTGATGGTGGTAGCTCAAAACCAACTATACATATATACTTATAGTCGTTATTTACATTTCACAACCTTACCGTTATAAATATTTTCAACACAAAACACTCTTGTTGGTGAACATAATATCACTGGAGTCGAGTTTCCAAATAAACACTTCTTAGCCATGCCCACGACCAAAAATTTGGATTATCACATTTCTATACCAAAAATTTGGATTATCACATTTCTATCTCGGATCTGAAATTTTTTTGATAAACAACGGAGTGAGCTAAAGCTTAGTGAGAACATTTCCCACTAGAGATCCTAGACATCTAACAAAATTCTAATTATTCCCAGAAATAGTGAATTATAAACTTGTCACATGATATCTTAGAAAAATAGCAAAATATAGTCCAAGAATAACATACTATTACTATATCCAAGAAAGAAAATGCAAGTTGAATATATCATAACGTATTCCAGAATCATGGTAACATATTCCAAAATCAAATTCTTTTTGAAAATAAGTTATTACTAAGAAAGAAAATGAACTATTGAATTTGTATAAAGACAAAATATCATTATTTTCTCGTATTCACACTCAAATTTCAAAATCACAAATCTCGATGAGAACATTCATGAAATGCAAGAATCACCTCATAAGTCACACTAAGGCTACAGATTATAGCCCAATAGCATGAGAATGTCAAAAGGCATCACATAACATATAGTTCTCGGGAATGGAATGCACCTATCTCTGCCATAGGCTACCGGCCACATCACGAACGCCTAAAAAGGCCACATCACGAACGCCTAAAAAGGCCACATCACAAATACCCATAACGGACCACATAAAGGTGCATTCTAACCATATGATATGACAGACACAAACACATCACTCCATAGTGGATTTTCTAATGGTTTGAAAATATCAAGAATTTCTTGTTAAATAGCTTGATCTCGGAAACACATCCTTTGTCAAATTATTTGATTTCAAAACATATCGCTTATCAATTTGCTTGTTTCCAAACCACATCACTCGTCAAATCATTTTACTTCAAAAACGCGTCATTTGAGCCAAAAATATTATTGGTATGTTCACTTACCAAAATTACAATTATTTTAAAACGAGTGGACGAGTGTAAATCTCATCATCTCAGTTAAAGTAATTTACGGATTTCACTTTTCTCTATTTTTATCAAACACTAAGTCACAAGAAACCTTTGAATTCACAAACTATTACGACACCTTCAAATTATTATTATTTTTCTTCAAAAGCTTTCAAATAAGTATTATTCACAATTAGTTGAGTTCGCATGAAACCAAAACCGCTTATCACATTTTATGTGGAATGTAATTTATGAAATTAAATCATATTATATGTTATGCCATAAATAAATAGAACGGATCACATTTAACTTTATATACAAGAAAAATAATAGATTATTTATTTTCTGAGCATAAAATCAAATCAAATATAGCACTCATGCAAATCATATTATAGAAAAAATACTAGCGAGAAATAAACTCACCTCCAATGAGTACAACTTCCTCAAAATACTACTTTCCTGATATCAACTTGAACCTATAATATAAATATATAAGACTAGTATTAATTCAAGACAAGTACACACTGCAAAGTTTAAAATCAATCATATTCAAATATACTCAAGTAGTAATTATTTGTAAATAAGATACACGTAATATTTTCATTCAAAGCAGCAGGGGTCTACAACAATATTTTCATTCATTTTCACTCTTTTGGACATATACACAAACTAATAAATTTTCAGGGACCCAAAGAAATTTGTTTATTTAAATAAAATTTCCTCTTTCTCTCTCCTTTTATCTCTTCTTTTCTTCCCGTTCCCCCTTTCTCACTTCATTTCATTTTTTTTCCCGTTCACTCCTCTCTCTGACTCGCAACCCGAACCCTAGCCGCCGCCTCTCTCCCGCGCCTCTCTCTCTCTCACCTCCTCGGGCGACCACCTCTGTCGAGCTCATCTCCGGCAGCAAGCCTCTCCGCCGCCGCCTACGTTAGAAGCTGAAACCCTAGCCGACGCCTTGAAACTCATTTCCCCTCTTCTTTGAAAGTCTATCACAATTCTCATCAGTGGTAATTTTTTTCCTTCACGTTTATTTTGTTTTTTTCCTATTTTTCTCTAAATTATGTTGTTATTCTTTTCCCCATGTTCAGAGATTTCCCCCCCTTTATTGTTACCCTCTGTATTAGTTGTCAGATCTGACAATTTTCGCCTAATGATGAGATCAACTTTTTTCTTGCTAGATCTAGTGATAACCTAGTTTTGTAATGAGATCAACTACTGTTACCTCTGCCCTAAGAAAGCAGACTGTAATGGCATGGACAAGCACAAGGAGAAAATGCACAATGGTAAGCTACAATGCTCTACCTGTCTCTTCAAGTGTTCAACCTCTGCAGCCATGGAAGCGCACACAGCTTGGGGCTATACCTTGACCCTCTCCAACGAAGCGCTCAACCTTTTGAAGATCGACAAGGACGCATCGAGAGCAACGATCAACGAGCTGCTCGACGATTTCTGCCTGAAGATTTCTGATGATGAAGAAGAGGACTAATCTCAGATATGTTCCGTTTCCCTCAACTCGATAAGGGTTTTGATTCAACTATTTTCACAGAGAATTAAATTCTATAACATCGATTAGGTTTTTGGTTCTCTAGTTGTTCTAGGATTAGATTTACTAGATGATCTTGAATGTTCTTGGATTAGGGTTTTCTGTATGTTCTTGGTTGTGGAAGGTTAAGATGTCTTTGACTGTTGCGATTCTTGATTTTCAGTTTGTTGTTGGATTAGATTTTGGATCTTGTATGTTGCCTATTTAATTAAGTTGTCACTTATAATCAAGATATCTGGATGTCTTTGACTGTCACGTATTCGCTACTTGTAACAATAATAAATATTAAAACGACCTACTTAAGAGTTCACTACTTTCAGATCATTAATTCACTAGTACAAGCATGGGCCAAGTCCTACTTAAGAGGTCACTACTTCAAATTATCAATCCCTAGTATGAGGATGAGCCAAGTTACATTTGTGTTGGAGTTCGATTGTCGACAATGCATTGATTGGATTTGCCTATGTCCTACAGCCAACCACACATATTTGAGGAACTAGAAGAAAATACACCACATTGCGCACGCACAGTGATGTAAAAAAAGTTAGCAAGAAATGAGAGGGAGGTTCTTTTTAATGAGTAGTGAGCACTAAGACGATTAAGCTATTGGTCTTTAACCATTGTATTTGTATCTATGAAAATTAAATTGTTTGAGAGACCGATAACCACTGGAAAAAATGATAGTGTAGACTAGATGCCTGAAGTTTTTGTTTCTTAGTGGTTCTTTACACGATTCCTTTGCGGTTTATCTGTATAGGTCCCAAATAATACTTGAATAGTGAAATGCATCTTAGTTTTGTCACCTTAACATATTCATGATACTAGAGATAAAGATCACTTGAATAGGTTTTTCTCACAGAATACTTATCAATCTACTATATTCTTTCAGTTCACTAATAAAATTGCTTCTACCACTTTGGTCTGTCTTGCAAACTTAACATGAAGAACAAATTTAACATGGCCACTTGAGTAGTTGAGATATTCTATGTTTAACCTGTGTATTTAGTTTCTTCCACTTGGTTGACGTTATGATGGTGTTGAAACTTGAAACTCATACTGGTGGTTCTTGTTGGATATCAAAACTCTTCATATTGAGCATATGATGGTAAATTTTCTACTTGCTTGACATTATGATGATTTTGTATTTTAATTAAGATCTCCATTTAAAATGACATGCATAATTCTCTATTTGTATGATTGGATTAATTCTAGGAACAACAAGCAAATGAGACAAGTAATCCATAAATTGCAAATGTAATTGTATCATTTTTCTTACTTTGCTACTTGCATTCAGTTCCTTTCTGGACACTAATTAATTAAAATTGAAAACCCACGTTAATTTTGACTAGCAATGTGCAACAAATTGTGCTTACAAAGCTCTAAACTACAAAGAATTTAGATGCTTCCCGTTGACATCTTAACAATAAATGTGTTATCACTTTATCATTAATAACCAGTCATCCGAGAACATCCAGATATCTTGATTATAAGTGACAACATAATTAAATAGGCAACATACAAGATCCAAAACCTAATCCAACAACAAACAGAAAACCAAGAATCGCAACAGTCAAAGACATCTTAACCTTCCACAACCAAGAATGTACAGAAAACTCTAATCCAAGAACATTCAAGATCATCTAGTGAATCAAAGCCCTAATCCTAAAACAACTAGAGAACCAAAAACCTAATTGGTGTTATAGAATCATTTCTCTGTGAAAATAGTTGAATCAAAACCCTTATCGAGTTGAGGAAAACGGAACATACCTGAAATTAGTCCTCTTCTTTATCATCAGAAATCTTCAGGCCGAAATCATCGAGCTGCTCGTTGATCGTTGCTCTTGATGCGTCCTTGTCGATCTTTAGAAGGTTGAGCGTTTCGTTGGAGAGGGTCGAGGTATGGCCCCAAGCTGTGTGCACTTCCATGACTGTAGGGATTGAAGCCTTGAAGAGACAGGTAGGACACTGTAGCTTACCATTGTGCATTTTCTCTATGTGCTTGTCCATACCATTACGGTCTGCTTTCTTAGAGCAAGGGTAGCAGTAATAACCGTGGCGGTGAGCTATGATAGTTGCCTTCTTGTGAGCGCGACGACCACTTTTGGAGGAGGGGGGCCATTGTTCTGTTAGAGGAGGGGATCACGATGAAGAGGACAGAGTTTTAGGAGAAAGAAGACATCCGAGAGCGTGAGAAGAGCAGTGTTATAAATATCGGCCGCCATGTCCATGGCGGTTTTATACCCTAGCCGTCACGATATCCTTTATTTCAATGCGTATTGCGTTTCTGAGGTCATGTCGGAAAATATCGGGTATGTCGGGCGCCATTGCGGCCAAGAAATATCGGCCAAATTTTAGAAAAAGTGGTTTTAAGCTTATTAGGTCAAGTTTGAAAAACCCGACTCAGAAATCAGGTTTTTACAATTGGTTAGTGATCCTAACATCAATAATTTATGTACTTTTTCATATGTTTAGATAATATAATTATCAAGTATGTGAAGATTTCATTTATGATATTATATCAACTTATCCGATATGGTAATCCGATATTTTTTTCATGTCCCCCGATATATCCCCGATTTTCGCTATCCGACATGAATTTTGGCCGACCAACATGAACCCGACATCCGACATTTAAAACATTAGAGAAGAGAGTAAGGCAAAGTTTTGGGGATTTTTTAAACCTAGGTGGGGCTGGGTTTTTAATTAACTGGGGTTAAATGAGATCTATTTCTCAGATACTCACATAACCGTATTCCGTTTGAAACAAATCTCGTTAAAAAAACGTTATCTTTTCGATATTAATCCCAAATCTTTCATATTTTCAAATTAATCTCTCAAATCATTGAAATTACTATTAAGCCCCGCAACTTGTCCCTCAAATCAGAAAATAAAAAGAAAAAATCTAATAAATAATTCAATTATTTAAAAATGACATAAATTTCAATCTTTAAATCAAAACCTCCAATCTTTTGTGTTTTCCTCTTGAAATCAATCCATAATCAGCCCTTCTTATTAGCTGCACTCACCTATGTTACGCATGCACGATGATTGTCATGTGATGTCGAAAAAGCAATACCGCAAACATATACCTTTACGCAGAACTAGCTTGAATTATGACATAAATTATGGCCTAAATACGCTCTTTAATCATGTTAACACCAGTAGAAAAATGAAGATTCTTGACGGATCAAACTAGACTGAAATTATTCTATCTTAAAAATTCCGTCTAGGTTGGCTACCTAGACTGATTTAAAAAAAAATATAGGTCCCACCATTCTGGACAGAAATTTTCCTTGTGGGGCCCACCTAAAAAACCCAATCTGCCTAAACACCCGCTACCACCCCACTTCATTCCACTCGTTCAAAACTTTCCGCATAGACCCCATCTCTCCCTCCTTATCCTCTCCTCCACCACCAGACTCTTCGTCCTCATCCCCTTTGTGTCCCCGCCAGCGCCGCACGTCCGCACGTTGTTAGTTCGGTCGCCCGCACCGCTTCACCGCACGCCCGCACGCTGAACGCCGCACGCCGTACGTCTCATATTTTGAGTATTTACCTATTTCTGGGTTCTTATTAATTTATCTTCCTAATTCTATTTAATTTTCTTTTGTAGGACTTGATGCGATAGCAAATACTTATCATGCCATAGGAGCTGACGACAAGGTACATTATGTTAATTTCCATAAGAAAGATAAAGTGTATTAGGGTCTGTTTGGAAACGTGGATTTAGGCCCTGGATTTAAAATCCAGGGTGCTTAAATCCAAATCCCATGTTTGGGTAGAATTTTGGGCTCAAGTTTGAAATCGGTTGATTTTGAATGGGTTGATTTCAAAGACCAATAACTGAGATTTCAAATCTTCACCTAACCCTTGTGATTTGGCAAATCCTTTCCCTTAAATTACGATCGCGATATTAGATTTCAAATCTTATTATTTTTTTGAAATCCAATGAGAAAAGCTATTGATGAGTGTTCATTTTATTTATGTAACTGTGAAATTATATATCTATATCTATCATCATAGTTATCAAATTATAACAATATTATATAACAATATTACAAATTATAAATCTCGTGATAATACCCAAAATATTTCAAGTATGAACAGTTGAGTGACTATTTTAAAATATGAACGATTTGAGGGACTAATACAAAAAGCCCATGTTAAATAACACTTTGGATTTAAACGGGCTTTCGTACTTGAAGCCCAAAGAAAGACCACACGAAGCCGGTCTAGTATGTGATTTATAGGTGTCAGAGTCTTAATATATGATGAGAGTTGAGATTGGGTTTGGAACTGCCTTGAAACCCACTTCCCCTCTTCTTTGAAAGTCATCACAAATTCTCATTAGAGGTAATTTTTGTCCTCCACAATTTTTTTTTCTTCCATTCTGTTTTTCTCTAAGTATATTGTTATTCTTTTCCCCATGTTCAGAGATTTTTTCCCCTTTATTGTTACCCTCTGTATTAGTTGTCAGATCTGACAATTTTCACCTAATGAGATGAACTTTTTTCTTACTAGATCTAGTGATAACCTAGTTTTGTAATAGGCACTTGCATAGATTTGTTTTATTGTTTTTAAATCACCTATTTTGAATATTATTTACTTGAATTTGTTTGATCATGTTTGAACAGTTCGAACATAACTCTTTTTTTCCCCTGAAAATTAATTATTAATGTGTAAAAAAAATCAAAGAGAAATTTTGGTTTTTGATTAGAGATCAAAATCTAAATCCAATAAATATTGGCGTTGGATTTTCAATTGTGTCCTCCGACTACGATCCATGAAGTTTATTTGAATCACCTGGCAAATTCTTATAGTATCCAAACACGATCATTATATGATTAGACTTTCTTTGATAATTGAGGGCGTTTGGAGAGGCTTACAATTTGATCAAAGTAGCTTTAAGCTGGTTTTTCCATATCTAGTTATCTACATGTTTGGTCATATAATAGGATTATCCCAAATAAAGCTGGGTATGTCCGTTAAAAAAAAGGACTACAGAACTTTTAAAAAACTAGCTTATAATCTCATCTAAAAAAAAGAGAAGGACCAAACAACTTTTGAAAAACACCCTCATCTTGTATTCAATTCGTAGGATAATATTCTTAGTTATATTAGAGATGTATGACTGTTGTATAAATAATATTGAAGAATCAAGATTGAGAAGGTGATTCTGGAAAGGAACCAAATTCAACAGTTATATTTTGTCTACAATCTATTCATGTTGATCCGTTACCTTTTAAGTTTGTGTTATTTCACAAGTTTAGCAATTCCTTTATCATTTTAGACTATTGTTATATGCACATAAAGTGTCTTGTATGAACGACATTCTTTACAAAAAAGAAAGTAGTTGTACTTTGTTAGAGATTAGCTCAGTTTGATGTAGAAACTCCTTTACCATTGTACGCTATTGTTATATACATATAATGTGTCTGGTATGAATGGCGTTTTTTACAAAAACCAACTTTAGAACTTTGTTAGAGATTAGTTCAGTTTGATGTAGAACGCGTTATAGCTGAATATTTTTAAATCTGTAAAGATTTTGATAATTTAAACAAGACATGCATTCTTAGATTTGAGAATGTCTTTTTATTTAAAACAATCATCTAATCTTAGACAAACTGATTTTCCTTATCAATATAATTTATCCGATGATGTTTTCTTTCATCATTAAAGCCTATGATATTATGTGCTGTTATCATGCATCATGTTTTAACTCACTAGTTACTTAGTCTATGCTTAGTTTGTTCTGTCTTTTCTTTCTTTCTTTTTTAATTTTTAATTTTTAATTACCCCCTTGTATTTTATCCTTTTCAGGAATATTATAGATGGGCTCATTCAATGGACTCACTATCGATCTCTTGAAGCTTATCGCTGAAAAAATAGCCAATCATGCAGATGTTCTTCGATTTGGCGCTGCTTGTAGGGAATTCCGCTCCATAATCATGAATAACCTTCAGTTGCTTCCACCAAAGTTACCGTTGTGCCTCTGTGCCCTCCCAAGTAAACCCCCTCCCCTACCATTGCTAATGCAGTTTCGTGATAACGAGTGGGAAAACATCAACTTCTTTTCTCTTTCGGACGGAAGAAATCATGGGGAGTTTCTTGTTCCAGAAATAGGAAACAAGTGGGTCGTTGGGTCCAGTCATGGTTGGTTGTTTACGGTGGACACCCGAGGTAGAGACATTCATCTCTTGAATCCATTAACGAGGGCCCAAATCCCTCTCCCATCTCTCGACGCATTTGTGCATCCTAGAGGTGGTTTCACAGACTCTGAATACAATGATTTCGGGTTTGTAGAGAAGGCCATTCTATCCTCAGATCCTTCGAATAAGAGGAGAAACTCGGTTGATGGTGATGACTGCGTAATAGCCATGGCAATCATCTCCAATCCCTGCGTGCTTTCATTTTGTAAGGTCGGAGACGATAAGTGGACCAATGTAGAGGGTTCCCTGACGCAACTCCAAGATGTCATTTATTACAAGGGTCAGATCTATGCTGTTAATTATGAGGGGATAGCTGTTGTTTATGATTTTGCAGGTGATAAGAAGATGAAACAAATTGCAAATGCACCAGACATGCTTATAGACGACAGATATCTGGTTGAATCAATACATGGAGAGCTGTTGCTAGTCGTGAGAATGCTTGATTATGGAGATGATGAAGATGATGGACATGACAATGATGAAGAGGATAAAGTCGTGTATGAAACAACTGATTTTTTGGTGTACAAGCTTGAATCTGTTGATGAGCCTATCAACCCTGAAGGTGTTCATTTCATGACCGTCAATGGAATTGCAGAGAGAGGTAATTTCCAGTTTAAATGGGTTGAGATTGAGAGCTTGGGTGATCAAGCTTTGTTTTTGGGTCAGAATTATTCACTGTGTGTACCAGCAGTTGAGTATCAAGGATGCAAGCCAAACTGTATTTATTTTACAGATCATGGGTTGGGGAACAGGAACATTGCGAGGGGAAATTTGAACGACGAGGAGATCAGTAAGGAGTCCATTTGTGACATGGGCATATACGACTTCGGCGATGAAAGCTTTCAAAGGTTTAGCCAACTAAATGTCAAGTACCATGCACCCCCCATTTGGATCTCACCAAATCCATGGTAGATTTGTGAACTGTTTCCAGTGTGATAATTTCTATTTATGTCGTGCAGTTAATTTTGGTATGTCAGTTACATTACTCTCGATTATGTTCAGTTCACTACATAATGAAGCATGAATTGCAGTTTATTTTTCTTTTCATGAGAATGGGTAATTTATCGTTTCCTTCCATTATTTTAGAGATGCTAGTTGCTTCTTTTACTTCTGATCTTTTTTAGCAAATTCTGGAATCTCAAACTACAACTCCCAACTCATTTACTCAATAGGAACATGGTGAAGTTCCCAACTCATTTCCTGGTAATAATTGGTGCTCGAAATCATCTACTAATTTATGTACGTGTATTATTTTCAATCGCATCCGACCAAACAGTTTAAATCCCAAGTTCTTGTTGCCACGGGAAAAACAAGAACTTCCACAGGAAATATATGTGATACTTTCTCCTTTTCTAGCCATCTTTTAGCGGCTCACATGATGCATGGCTACCCTCCACGAGAAAGTTAAACCAAAGCAAAAGGCCTTCAGCCTCTCCTCATTATCTTACACAAATTCAACACAGCTTCGGATTTTTTTTTTGTGTGTTTCCCATTCAAGAAAGGGAAGATGTTCATTTTGGACATTCTGCTGGGTTTCTTCTTCTTCTTTGCTCGTCTCCTTCTCGCCGTCGTGCTGATGTTGGTAGTTTGCGGATGGGGGTTTGATCAGCTCCGAGCGTTCGAGCATCAGGTTAATGATCAAGCTCTTGCTTTCGGTCAATTGTTGTTTGAGCCTCATCATCCTCAATTGGACATGCATAGAAGCATAAACCGTTCTCCCTTAGAAGAGGGTGATTATGGATAAAAAATAAGATGTAGAGCGCTTCATTTCTCTGCGGTGGTTCTGATTGTTGCTATTTTGATTTTAATTGATTTTATTCCGTGATATATGTTTGCTTGTGTTACTATGACAGTGAATATCTAGCGTGTTATCTGCACTTAAATACTTACTCCTAAGTTTACCCATCTTCACTGCCAGTTTTTTCTTTTTTTTCAGAAAATAATCCAGAGTTCAACAGAATTTAAATATTATATCCTGTCAATTGATGTAATTAACGAGACTAAAGGGGACTACAAAGAGCAAATTTTGATTTCGACCATTGTTGCTCAGCCTCATAGGTTCCTCCTTGTTTTCACGATGTCTTTATGGTTTTTTTTTCTAGTCTCCTTCGATTATCTCAATTAACAGGCGTATCAAAGTTCAATTTTGTTAAAATTTGGAGAACTTTGGGAGAGTAAAGTAAAAAATGGAAAACTTTGGGCACTTAAGTGCAAATAGATCTACTCTGAGCCAACGAGAAAATCAGGGAAGATTACTTTCTTTATCTTTTTGGGTATTTACATCAAAACCACCTTAACTTTGTCCCAAATTGATGGCTACCACCTATATTTTTTTTGATGTAAACCACCTAAACTTGCTAACATGTTTGCAATGACACTTTTTTTACCGTTCACCCACGGAAAAAAATCTGATATTCCCATTTTACCGTCATCTTCTTCCTCACAAACCCTAACCTAACCCTAGCCTCCTTCATCCTCCTCACCTACAAACCCTAACCCTAAACCATCGCCACCACCTCCCTCAAAATCCTAATCTATGGCAGTCATCTCTTCCAAAATACTAACTCTAAACCATGACCATCACCTTCCCCGAACCCTAACCCTAATCCTAGTTTTTATTTGGGAAAATTGGGAGAGTGGGAGGTCGGGAGGAAGAGGGAGGACGAAAGAGAGGAGGAGGGGAGTTGGGGGAGGAGGGAGAGGGAAGATGAGGAGAAGAGGAGGATGAGGATGATAGGGTTAGGGTTTGTGAGAAAAGTGATGAAAAAAACAAGAAAATTGTGGGGGTAAAATGGTCATTTCGTGTATTTTTTGGTTGAAAATTGGATTAGGTGTGACATTGCAAACATGTTAACAAGTTTAGGTGGTTTACATCAAAAATAGAAAATGCAGGTGGTAACCATCAATTTGGGACAAATCTAAGGTGGTTTTGATGTAAACACTCTATTTTTTTTAGTTTTATGCTAGAAACCGCTCGAGATGCCAAAGAGATGAAGATTGCCCGCGGATATTAATTTATGTTTGTCAAAATTTATGGATCCAATTGCAAAGTTTGCTACTCAGTTGAGAGAAAATAGAATAAATAATTAATAAATAATCAATGACTAATAGGTATTGCTTACCGATTCAATCTGCTTAATTAATAGGGGTGGTAAACGATCGAATCGAATCGAATACTAAGGTGTTCGTATTTGTATTTGTTTAAAATTATCGAATTCGAATGTGGACTCTAATATTTATATATCTAGTTTTTCGAACTCGAATACTTAGTATTTGATAACTATTCATGAATACTCACGAATACTTATCGAATATCAAAGTATATTTATTCCGCTAAAAAATTTAAATTTCAAGTGGTATTAAAATTCATAAATAAAAATTATTCCTTTATAATATATGATGTGTATATATTTAAATCAAAATTTAATTAGAAAACAAATTTAAGATTATTTAAGTCTCAAAATCGGTATATAAACCTTAAGTAGAAATGGTAAGTGAGTTAAAACTACGACATCATATATGCAATAATACAAATAATAACATGTGGTCAATTTTAAACGAATATTTAATAGACAAATGAATCGAATATACGTCTAGTCAAATTCTAATCGTTAGCAAACTCGAATACTAAAAAAATATTTGTTTCATGTTAAATGAACTACCGAATCGAATATGACCGTATAGTTATTCGAACAATTATCGAACTATTTGTTAATTATTTGGTTCATTTTCACCCCTATTAATTAATTGTCATCCTATTAGTCTCTTGAGGTTCACCCCACCTTGAATTTTTTAACCGTACATCGGCAGATAGTTAATTTCTGTCTCATAATTTAAGCACAATTTACCCACTCACTTCAAACAAAACTCTAAAGACTGACCATGGGCAAGTCCATTACCACTCTCTTCAGCAAAAAAATTAGACATCAGAAGCAAGTGGAGTTCTAAACACATCACGAAGCTCAAGACTCTTCTGGGCCTCGCCGTTGCTCGCATCGCGATCCTCAAGAACAAGCATCAGACCCGTTGCAGTTTGGCCCATTCTGATATTGTTCAGTTACTCACCTTGGCCCAGTTCGATCGTGCAGGTTCATCGTGCAGGTTCATCGTGCTGAGATTGTTGTCAGGGAGGAGGACTTGCTCGACGTCTTCGTCATTGTTCAGTCTTATTGTCATCTCATTATTGAAAGACTGCTTCTCCTCTTCCGAGGGAAGTACTCTCCTTAATCTTGATCACGTTCATTTGTTAATGTCGATACGAAACTGTGCACTATTCTAGAATTTGAACCTGAAATTTTCTGATACAAGAATGAAACTCAAAAGGATGAAAACCCCCCACAGTTGCCTTCCTAGTTATGTGATTTTTAGTATGTATCATAGGAAATTATAACTTGTGATGTCATTTGTTGTTAACTATATAGGGATTGTCCGGATTAGCTGCAAGAGGCAGTTTCGAGTTCGATATATATATATGTGTCATCGAGATCAGCAGAGATGCCTGAGCTCCAGCGTGTCTGCAGCCTGTTCTCAGCCATATTTGGCAGTGAAATCGTTCGTGCTGCCATCGAGCTTCGTAGTTGCAGTGTCAATCCAAAGGTGGATCATTACCTATCGATTTCTTTTTATCTCCAAAAAAAAAAAAGACGGAAGAATGAAATGATTAATACTGGTGTTTGCAATATTTAGATTGTGCAGAAGCTGTCTACCAAGAAGCCGACCCTGGAGAGCAGAGTGAGGATCGTCGGGGAGATCGGTGCAGAGAAAGGGATCACTCTAAATATCGAGGACTCGAAAAGCTCTAAGGTGCCGATAGCTTATATAGAAGAACTTCCATGAACTTCTGCGTAATTTTTTTAGGTTAATTGAGGGCATACCCCCTGTACTATCGCCAAATTGAACCTACTACTCTTGTAGCTGTATTGTTGTAGATAACTCCCCTAAGTGAAAATCTATTGTTGCAGATAGACCCCCTGAAAGGGTAAATTTTTTTTCACTCAGGGGTGTAATCTGAAAAAAAAGTACACGGGTGGTAAGTTCAATTTGATGATTATACATGGAGTCTATCAGCAATCAACCCCTTTTTTTTTAAATTTATGAGAAGGTAAGTTTCCGGATGATATTGGTAATTAATGCAGGTGAGTCCAAACTCAACCAAGAACAATAACACCAGCCAGAAAGAAGAGACAGCGCTTGGTTCAGACAAACACAAAGAAACCAACTCAGATTCTACGTACTGATGCATCCTTTAAAGAAAACAAGCCGAGTAAATTTGTATCTTGGGGTTCAACCGAAAACAATGAAAAGAATGCTCAGAGCGGGAGTGAAACTGCGAAACAAAGCAACGAGCTCTCGAATCCTCGGTACCAAAATGCAAGAAACTGTTTAGGGGAGAGCTTCAAGGGATTATTTCATGAAGGGGCGGGTGAGACTTCAGGATTATTAGATTCAACAGATGATGCTGACATCCTAAAATCCTACTATTCTGAAACTACAAGTCCTGGGACTGAAACTGCTGGTATTGATTTTACGAAGAAATCTCCCATACGAGATTCGAAGGTACGTAACGAGGAAAATGGCAGCCTCTGTAAGAACTCGACGATGAACGCAGAAGTGAAGGAGAGTTTTGCGAGATTGTTTCCTTTTTCTTCTTATTTGTTTCCCTCTTCTTCATTGAATATGGAGCAATAATGTAAAATTTTTCCTATGGCTAGCTAGTCATGGGTATAATACTAGCATGGATATGCTCTGTGCTGAGAATTTCATGCAAGTATAGCTCAGCCGTAGTACGTCTTCACATCCAATGCTCTCTACAGGCTGCAGTTTTCTTGAGATTATATTTTGCTTATCTAAAATACCCAACTTATTATGGCCGATTTCAATATTTTTTTATTTTTATTTTTGCATGGTAGAGGGAAAATGGTAGAGGGAAAAAAAAATCTGTTGGTTTTCATAGTACTTCAAGGGTTTAGTACGAAAAGCCAAAGTAATACGTACATGGAAGTTACCTGTAATTTGTTTGCTATATTTTACGTTTAATGAAAGTTAATAGAAGAAGTAAAATAATACATTTTTGCTTATTTTGCTTTTTGGTAACACCAAAATATCTCATACTTTTCTAACTTTCATGTCCTAATCTTCTATTTGACCTCATTCAGATCTCGGGCTTCATCGGCAAAGCGCAGTAAATCTTCTTCATCAAGCTCAGTCTCTCTCCCTCTCGGTCACCAACCAGACCACATGTTAGCCTCAGTTCTCTCTAACTGCAGAGCTTTAGATCCAATCCCCCTTGACGGGATATACAGTCTCAGAGAGCTAGAGGCAGAGAGGGCCAAATCAAGTGCCTGAACTGCTACCTATCTTGATTCTAGAAGTTCTAATCATATATCTATCTAGGATTATACCTCCCCCAACTCGGAGGAGAAGCTTGTCTCAGAGAGCTAGAGGCAGAGAGGGTCGAATCAAGTGCCTGAACTGCTACCTATCTTGATTCTAGAAGTTCTAATCATATATCTATCTAGGATTATACCTCCCCCAACTCGTAGAAGAAGCTTGTCTCAGAGAGCTAGAGGCAGAGAGGGCCGAATCAAGTGCCTGAACTGCTACCTATCTTGATTCTAGAAGTTCTAATCATATATCTATCTAGGATTATACCTCCCCCAACTCGGAAGAGAAGCTTGTCTCTATATAGATATTTTCTTTTATAAAATTTTTAACAGCAGCTATATATATTTTCAGGGCTTTCAGCCCTATTTTTACTTCAAAAAAAATATTCTATTTGACAACTTGAAGTTTTTTGAGACCTGAAAAGTTTTCAGAATGAGGTTAATTAGACAGTTCGGTACGCCAAAGTCCTCATTCTATTCATCACTTTACCCAAACTCGAAAAACTTAAATTTGATTAGAAAACAAATTTTCTTTAATTTTCTATTGAAGTCAATTTCTTTTACTTTGAGGTATTAAAGTGCAAATACTAGAAAACCCAAGAAAATTATGAGCCTCACGTCACGTGCCCCTCACTCCCAGATTAAACCCCGGCGCGTGCTCGTCAAAAACCCTAGTTCCCAACCCTCAATCCAATCCAATCCTCAGCCCCTCCTCCATTAATGGCGACTCCTTCAAAGCTCTACCATCATCTAGCCTCTTCTTTCCTTATCCTCAACAGGAGAACAGCAGGAACCAACAAATTCATCAGCTTTACCCATAAAATCTCCCCAGTCGCTTCTCTCCTCCTCATATCTCGCCGGAGCTTTTCCTCCGCCGC